TGCGTTTCAGGCATGACGCGATGCATCATTTGCATTATCCTTGTTATTCACTGAAAACAAGGATAAATGATGCATTATGCACATCATACGTAAAACAGAGCACTCTTTATCATATACTAATACAAAATAGACGCACGCTACGTGCGCGTTATTTGGCGTTTGACATTATTAAATTTTATTTTGGAACCTTTCCAAGTCGTTGCGTCTCAAAGATCATACGAGTCCTATTTCTGGTCACAAGGATTAAGTTCCTTGACCTAAAAAGAGGACCGACGGATGCATTGTCTCAGACTGATTAATAGTGTCTCATATCGATGTTGATCCATACCTATTCAAGTATTTCCGACTTGTAGCACACGCCTCAGAGCGATAACCACAAGAGCGGTGTCGATTGCGTCCTAATTCCTTTGTTCTATTCCAAAATTCAGAAAATTTTAGTTTACGTCAGTACTTTTTGAAATATATTGTATTGATGATCAGTTCATTTTTGTTCTCTTAATGTTAATACAATACATCGTCGAGCGGCGATCAGTATATGATTCTGTTAGCACACTTCCGTAAGATTGTTGATTCAGATGTACGCAGTCTCCATCGAAAAGCATTCCTGTACATATTTATTGTAGATAAATACATTTTCAAATATTTCTGTTTTATAAAACAGTATTTCGGTTTGTAGATTATGTTGCTACTAAGTTGAATTATACTGAAGCATTATCGACTCAGTTTCCATATTTCACTCTTTTCAATCATCTATCATGTTCAATAGATTATTCTGCAAGTAATGAAAACTGATATCAGTGCAAATTGTATTCTGACTGGGCTCATACTTCATGTGGCAATAAGGGAAATTTTTATTTCTTTTGCAGTAAATGTTTTTAATTAGAAATATTATATTCTCTATTTTCCGCACATTTATTAATTTTCTTAAAAAATAATATTTGTTAAAGGATAACAATTTGATTTTATTTGTATTAAAGCTTATATAATTTAGAACTTGACTCTTTTAAAACAGATAATAGTTTTTTCAAAATCGCATTGTTTTGAAATGCTAAATTTTTTGTTTATCAAAAATTAAATCTCTCTTGTTAATACCATATCAAGGTCGATTAAAGATCGGAAAATAATAAATCATAATTGAATTCTTTTTTTATTGAATGATTACGCGCGTAAGATTGCTATTATTTTTACTAATTTGTATGTGCATTTTATCGTCAATCTGACACAATAGCGGTTTCTTTAGTCTCATTGATTTTATTTAAATACTCGTGCTGAATATGATACTCTATGCTATTATATTTATATTTATTCATCATTCATGTGGATAATAAGTAAGAAGCTTCCACGAGAAATCGTTTTCAGCCGCAAAGATAAGATATACTTTAATGCGTAATATATATATATATATAAAAACAATGATAAACGCAAAAATGTTTACGTAACACTTTACGTAACACTTTACAATATATGTGCTTTACGGTATGTACTGTTTAGAATTCGTGTGCTCTTTGAAATTTAATCAGATATATGCGTCATCTGTAGTTAATAACATAATATAATAATAAACTTTAGAAACCTGTTTTTTTTCAATTGCTTACAGCGATCAATCCTTTCTCTTTTTCCTCCATGTTAAGGAAAAAAAGAAAAAGTTGACCAATACAAGAAACTGAAAAGAGCAGGCTTATTCCATAATTCTTATGTTTATTTTCAATGTAGATTAACTTTAATTTCGATTTTTATTACTTCTTATTCTTTTTTAATTCTTAGAACTAGAAGAAGATAAAAAGTAAGTTAAATCTGTCACTAATGCTTATTTCTAGATTAAAATTAATCTAGAAATAAGCATTAGTGACAGTTTCGTTATCATTATAATATGTTGTTGCATAAATATAATTCTATTTGAAAAAGTCCATGTTAAATTGAAAGTCGAATGTCTCGAATCTCTCCAAGTATATTATTGCCTCTTTTACGCGATACTGATTGATTTTTTTCCATCCACTTATTTTGTGAACGATCATCATTACATTGATAACTGTTTACGTCGTTCACGAAATAAGCACATATTTTTTTCTATATATAAAATAAAAAAAAAGTTTATTACAGTGTTTAGTATAGTGAAGCTATAGCGCAGTTTAAGCAATTATTTAAAAACACCATCAATACACTAGAAAAATGGCTATTATGGTCGAAGCTATGGATCTTCATTGCTTTAAATAATTCAATCTTGAATTACTAATATACAGGGTGCGTCACCAAAATCCGGACAAATCGAACAATTCCTTGTCGTGGCAGCCTCAGAGAGCCTCTTTAATGTGTACGATTTGTATCGAAGGTCCTCCTCGGCAATTCGACGCATTATTGGCTCGCTTACACCAACAATCGATGCTAATTTTCGCAACGATTGCCTTGGGTCATCCGAAATCAGCGTTTGAGCCCTTTCAACGACTGCAGGGATCCTCTTTCGAGTGACTCTTCCTCGCTGGCATACTGGAACCTTCGTTGGACTGTTCTAAAGCCGTATATTTTGCCACAACGTCATAAACAGTGGATCTCGGGTATCCAAAGAACCGAATTATTTTCGTTGCTGAGCGCCCGGCGCGAAGGTTTTCGATGATCGCGGCTCTTCGATTATACTCCGCACTTGGTTTCAACATCGCGGCCATTTTGAGAATATGACTGTTTACTAGAAGCATCAGGCTTTCTTGGACGCCAATAACAATCTCTGGCGGAGGCACAGTATAGCGGAAAATTTGAATTGAAATTTGTCCGGATTTTGGTGACGCACCCTGTACATTATACTTGCATATATACCATATTGTAGTCTTTTTAGAACTGCGCGCAGAATTATTTTTTCAGATTATAAACGTAATTAAAACTGCTCTAGTAATCGCAAATTAAATTGACAAGCAATTTAATAATTTAATGCTACCATCAAGCATCATATTATAAAGATATTAATATGTTAAAACTGTTAATAAATTTATTGCGAAAAATATTACCTTATAACCGCAATAAATTTCGATCTAAAATAAAGATTCTTAATATCAATTATTTAGATATATACAGGGTGTAAAAAAAGTTTTTGCCAATCGCTTTTGTGTAGATAGAGCGGACTAAACTGAATCGAAAAATCCTCTACTATTTTGCAATACTCGGTGAGGAAGATGTGGAGAAACTGGGATTGTGACGGACTGGGGATTGTCTCGATCTTCTTGTATTAGATCTATAGTGAGGATCCCTGAATAGGAGGGTCTATTTTGATATTTAATTCGTTTATGGACCCTAATTGACGGCGGGTCTCTTTGATAATAAAGACTCATGATTACATCCTGATGACGATGGGTACGTTTTTATTTCGCAGAGCCTCAATCTTAGCTCTCTTCTTATAGTCCGCATGCCGATTGCGTTTGACTATCTAAGTTAGAATTTTTTTTTTATTTAAGGATCATGGTATTGAGATGGGTAAGGAGTGTTCAAACGAGAGCAGTTGAATAGTTGGGAAAAGAAATGGAGAGATGTGAATCCAAGCGTCTTACTGCTTCAAGTAATTACGAAAAAGAGAAAGAGAAAAAAAGGAGAGAGAGAGAGAGAGAGAGAGAGAGAGAAATGAATTACACAAGTCACTGACCACTTCAAGTAATTTAGGAATAGGAAGAAAGGTGAAAAATTCGAAGCGTTTTACCGCTTCAAGTAAATACGGAAGGAGGGAATTATGTCAAAAGTGGGAATATTAAAAAAATTTCTATAAGAGATTCTACCATAGCAGTGAAAGGCAAGAAGTGTCTTAGATAGTCTCTTTAATAAATAAATGTATAAATGTTATCAAAGTTAAAAGGACTCAATTACTGACTATTTCTGCAAAACTTTCTTTGAAAACGGTTAAAGGTCTCGAGATCCGATGGAAAGCTCCTGGTAGTGAAACCTTGAAAGTGATATTACTCTCCGGGTAGGCAGGATCAGGTTGACCTCGGAAGAATTCTTTGCACTTTGCGACTCGATCACGAGAACTCCGAATCAAAATTTACGCCGAGCTGAGATCGAGGTAGTACTAGTTTGCCCGTCGACTGATCGAAATTTTAACAATTAGACTCACTGAGGGCTCGTATTTATACTCGCGAGGATGGTATGCCCTTCTTTGTTTTTGGCAAACGGTCATTGACTTAGCGTCTTCTATGAATTGGATATTTGGAGGAATCTGATTGGTGGAGATTTTAGTTAGTCTTATCTAGTTCTGAATACTCACGTGTAACGTCAAATATTGATAAACAATATTATAAATTTTTATAAGAGATTTATTGGGCAACAATTGACCTTCTGCCTCCGCGACTTCAATTAGAAAAATTGTATTTTAATTATTTCGATTATCAGTACTTGATTTACTATACAAATAAACAAATTAATTATTCTCGAATTTTTCATGAAAGAAAAGAATGGAGTTCTCTGGATGTAACAATTAATTGAAATAATTTTAAAGATCATTATAATTTTAAAGATCATATAAATATTATAAATAAAAAAAAATCTCCCTTTTCTATATTTCTTATTCTATATTTATTATTAGAGAAATATCGCCTCTCTTTCTCTCTCTCTCTCAGACAATCAGATTATTTAAATTACTTTGTACAATTCATTTTTAGTTTACAAAAAAAAGTGTTTTTTCGATCATAACCAACATATTATTCAATATAAAATACGAAATGTAAATGTAATATGTATTTGATATATATTTTTTATCTATATTAAAAAAAAAGATGTTTATAAGGATGTAAGACATGTAACAAACAAATGAAACGAACATGAGAGTTATAAAATAGGCCTGCTGCTCCTTTCAGCTTCTTGTATCGATCAACTTTCTCTTTCCTTCTCCCTCTAAAAGAAAAAAAGAGAACAGATTAATTGAATATATCAGCCATTGAAAAGAACAGGTTTTTAAAGTCTACCGTCAGTATTATACTACTAGTTATCATCTACAGATGGCGCAGATATCTGGTTAGTGAAGTTGCCTTAGTTCCAAAAGAGCACACGAATCGTAAACAGTACAGATTGTATCGCGGTACTTGGTGTTACATTTTGCGTTTATCGTTATCTTTATTTTACGCATAAAAGTGTATTTTATCATTGCGGCTCGAAGCCACGATTCTTCCGTGGAAGCTTTCTGCTTATTATAATCATAATGGAGAATAAACACAAATATAACAGCATAGAGTATTACATTCAGCAGCTAACTAGTAAAGATAAAGAATATGTAGCGACATATTTGAACGAAACTGATGAGACTAGAGAGACCGCTATTGCCGAGATCAGACGCTGGATTGACGACGAAATGCACATACAAATTGGTAAAAAGAACAATAATTTTACATGCGAAAATCACTGGAAAAAAAAGATTCAGTTATGATTTATTACTTTCGGATCTTTAATCTGCCTCGATATGATGTTAACAAGAATAATGTAAGAATTGTGAAGCTTATTGTAGAAAGAAAGAGATTGAGTATACTAAACTATAAAAAGAATGATGTGAACGAATTAAATAAATTAAAATTGTAAGGGATATGAGTGAACGGATCTTTCGAGCTTTTGATAAATTTGTAATTAAAATTCGATCAGTTACAGTATAGAAATTTTGGCTCGTGAATAGCGAAGTGAGAAAGTTGAAGCACTCAGTGTTATAGTAAAGTAATAATAGTAAATGTATTGAATGAGAGTGCAGAGTCACCACACAAAAGTCTCCGCACAAAATCATAGGATTTTGACCTTCGGTAAAATTAGTTGAAATTTTAATATGTTATAGTTAGTTATATTCTTGACTCACTGATCAAAAGTGTCCATAGACACGAAGCTTGAAAATGATTAATTTTTTGTTACAGCCATTTAAAGTTTTATTTTATTAATGCCTTAAAATCAAGTTTCTGTAATAAATCAATAGATTTTAGATAAAAATATGTCATTCACTTTCACACATCTTCATTCCTTCCACCTCCACCTCATCTCCACACACCTGAGCGCGTATTTTTATATAAAAAATACAGATTAAAAAAATTTTTAATTTTTAATTATGTGTGTGCTGTGAAATATTTTATTTAATATTTTGATCTTCTTGCTATGTTTTTGTAAATTTGACATTTATCTCGTGCAATTTACCCATTTTGATTGCGTAATAAAATATAACATAAAAAACAATAAAAGTAATGTAAAAAATCTATATAAATAATAAATTCATTATCGTACTGTCGCATTTCGCCATTTTATGAATCCAATTTTTCGACTCATTTACGTATCTATTTATTTTTCTATTTTTCAAATTACTATCTAATTTGTAATACTTATATATGACAAATTTAACATTAGTTAGTAATATTTTATTTAAAACAAATTCTTAATTTGTATGTACAGATGATTTTCTTATCTTGCGATTCTTGAGAGTTTGCAAATTCAATCTCGAGAAAACTAAAGCCAGAATACGAAATTATTATAAGCTGCGATCTGACTTACCCGAATGGTTTTCAAATACAGATCCGTTTCGACCAGAATTACAGGAGTTAATTAATATGGGGTAAAAATTGCCAAATTTCGGAAATATATAAATGCATAATTTAAAAAAAATTTCTTTTGTATTATATTATTATTATTATCGGTGAAATATTGCATGTCATACTCAGGTTTTTGAATAATTTACCGTGTAATTTTAGAAATTTTTATACTGTGATAATTATCACTGATCTTTTTTTTTAAATAATACAATTACGGCATTCCGTTTAATCGTACATCGTTGATGAAGATTTAATTGTACGTTCGTTATAATAAGTAATATATGTTTTATTAATAATTTTAATTTGATTGTAATGAATGATCAAAATATTGGTGTAACGAGTGTGTGATGACATGAATTTTATTTTACCTTTTAATAATTCTAAATATACGCATACATAGCTGCAGATAACTTTACAATAAATCTGTAATAAAGACAAATTTAATTTTACTGTCAAATTACTAAGGCTAATTCTACAATGTGCTTTTTATTTTCTGTTTCTTGCTGTTTGTCTCTTGTCTTTTTGACCAAAAGGTAAGAGACAAACAGCAAGAAACAGGAAATAAAGAGCATTATAGAATTAGCCTAAGTCTTTGTTATCTTTGTTTTTATTATTCTTATTATGATTTAATAAAAATATTTTATTAAATATTTTATTAATAAATAAGATTTTTCTGTCATAATTACATATCACTGTAGAACTAAAGGTAAATATTAATTTATTCGAATGATTTCCGAAATAAATACTTTATTTGTATTTAGGTTATATTTACCCTTGCGAAAACCAGATAATCAAGGCAGATTTGTTGTGATTGCGCGTTCTACTTTACATAATCCGAGAATACACAAATTATCAGATATAATTAAGGTAAAAATTAAAACATCATTAAGATTGCGAGTAACTTACAAATAATGTGTTTGAGATGTTATTATGAAAAAAATAATTAGTGCTCATTATTTTTCGACTGATTTAATAATCATTTCAGGTTGGTGTGATGATGGTGGAGCTGGCGATGAGGAATCGCGCCATAGCCACATCAGCATCTGTGTATGGTTTTACAATGATCAACGACGCGATTAACCCAACTTTACAACAATTTTTACAATTTGGACCTTCTATATTAAAGAAAATAGCACACACATGGCAGAACTGCTATCCTATGAGGTTTCAGTTGGTAAATGTAATTAATGCGCCAATGTTTTTAGATATTAGTTTCAAGATTTTTAAATCCTTCATGTCGGAGAAAATGAGCAAGAGAATTCACGTCTATTCACACATGATGCCGAGTTGTTTTGAGGATATTCCAGCCAACATTTTACCAATCGAATATGGTGGCACTGATGGTACAATTCAGGAATTAACAGGTACTTACGATTAATTAAAATGGAATAAATATGTGACGTTCTTAGTGGATGACATGTTTCTTATCAACCAAGTATTATCGAAAAAAAAAAGAATTTCTCACAGTTAAAACAAACAATTGTTTAGATAATCATCATTAGTAGTTAAGAATTTATCTGATTCTCTAAAATGTATATGAAATATTTGTTTAGACTTTAGATTAGCATAAGTATTTAATTCAAAATATGTAATATAAACATTTACTTTTATAGAATATTGGAAGAAATTGATTGAAGAAAATCGCGATTGGTTTATAAGTAATAAGAATAACTAAATCAAATAATATTTAGGAGCAATATCTTTAAGATAAGTTGTGCTTTGTTTGTTTTATGTGTTCCGCGAGAAAAAAATTATCATTCTTTCTTACTTATATTCTTTGTTGAGAATTCTGCCAGTTATATAATATGAAAAAATATATAGTAGAAAGTATTGTTGGAAAGATAGTAGATGATATATAATATTAAATACATAACAGGAACAAAAAATTCTTTTAGAAAAAAGAATATAATTATATATTTTTACATATTCATTTTAATATATTTGTTATACATATATAATTAGGATACAATTACATATATATTATAATATACAAATAATAATATGTTTAATTGTTTCTTTTTATATAAAAAATTATATTTATTGTGGTTATTATTTTTTTTTTTAAGATAAAGGGTATAATGATTAATCTTTTTTATGATTTAATTGTCACATTTTGTAAAGAATAATTACAAATCTTATATGTAAATAAAAAAAATTTATTATTTATATTTTATTTACTTGTAAGTTAAAAATCATTTTATCCAGATCATATATTACTTAATTATTATTTAATTATAATCTTTTATATTATTTAATAATTTTAGCTAATATTTAATTTAAAAGACTAAACATGCTACCATACGAAGAACTCAGAAATTCAAGTTTCTTCGAATTTCAAGAATGTATAATAAGTGTGCGTGCGTGTATATGTAGAACTTTCCAAATCACTTTTTCATAAACAGTATGTACATGCCGCCTTCTTCCGGTTCTTCGGTCTTTGGTCTGGAGCACGCTATATATATGGAATACTGGTGGGGAGCTTATCTTATTGGGCGCGTCTGCATCTGTCGGATCGATTCGCGAAATTCCGTCTAAATTCGTGAACGTAAGGATAGTCAGTTGTCCGAAACTTTTGTATAAGTGAGTTTACAGAAAAGTTTTATTAAATTCACTCTATTGTAACGATTGACAGTCCTTTGTATCACCTCTTTTGACTTATCTAATTAGTGAAGTTGACTTAGATTGGTATTTGTAGTTCTTATATTTAAGACTACTGTTTTAAGCATACAATCTTAAAATATCATGCATATGATATTATAAATATAATATTATTAATATTTACCAAGTTATTTATATTACTTTCAAAGCAATAAAATGCAATAATCTTTAATTGGTGACATTAGCAAGAATTATGAAATATCAAATAAGATGAGCTCATTCGATAGAGGGGGCATTGAATATATTAAAATTAAGAAAAAAATTTGAAGTATGAGTCTTAATTTCTGAGCAATTTGTAATTAAAGTTGGGCATCCAACTAGTTATAATATAAATATGTACAATAACTTTGAATGGGTAACGAAGTGTGGCTGATTGTGAGAAAGTTGAGGAATCGGGCACGTATGTTTTTTTTTGTCTTGACAAAGTTTAAATCTTGCAATATAAAAACATTTTTTAAATAACAATCATATTTTATGATATAATTCGTAATTTTTTAATTATTATTATTTTTTAAATAAAAATATTAATAACCGTGCACAATATTCAATATACATATATAACAATAAAAAATATTAAAAAAGTTTTTAATTTAGGTATTACATTTAATTAATTTATAAACTCTGACATATTTTATTTGATGTTGCTTCGTTCTTATGCGGTTTTTATGCGTCTAATTTATGTACTTTCCTGGTTTTTTATGTCTGTTGTTTATGTCTTTACTTTTTATCTGTCTGATACTAATTTCGTGGAATTTATTCTTGATTAGTAATAAGAAATGAAAAATAACAAGAAGTAATATAAATTGTGTTCAACAATTAAAAACGATAATGATTTAAAGGTCTTGATAATAATGAAAAATGATTTGAAAAAATCTATATAAATCTATATAAATAAATTCATTATTGCTATTTTCTGCACTAAAGAAGACAAAAAGTTTTTGGTCAATTTTGTTTTTATTATCTTCTATTATTTATTTATTATCTTCTATTATTTATCACAAAGGAAAGAGTATTTACGCATTTAATTAGATAATAGACATTTTTTAAAATCATGTTACTTTATATACATATTTATAAAATCACGAACAATTAATTACCTAAACCAATTTACCTAATTTATAATGCCTAAATGTATAATGCCTTAATTTATAATATCTAATGATAAATTTAGCAATTTTTTATTTGGAGGGAATTCTTAATTTGTTTACAGATGATTTCCTTATCTTACGTTTCTTGAGAGTTTGCAAGTTTAATCTCGAGAGAACTAAAACCAGAATACGAAACTATTATAAACTGCAATCTGATTTACTAGAATGGTTAAAAAATAAGGATCTATTTAGAAAAAATTACAGCAACTGCTTAATTTAGGATAAAAATCATTATTTTGGAGCATATAAATAGTATAATTAAAAAAAATCTCTGTTCTCTGTTCTAGTTTTATTACTATTATTATTATGGAGAAACATCATCTCTCTTTCTCTCTCTCACACACAATCATATTATTTAATAATTTATCGTAAAATTTTTATACTGTAATAATTATTGTTACCAACTTTTGTGATTATGTCGTTTAATTGTACATTGTTGATAAAATATAATTATGTCAATATACATATATTTATTATAATAAGTTATATAATAATTTCATTATAAATAATAAGTTATAAATTATAAGTTTATATATAAACTTATAATTTATAACTTATTATAATATATTAATAATTTCAATTTGATTGTAATGGGAACTGATAGTGTGAATTTTTTTTATTTTTTAATTACTAAATAACTTTATAAATCATCTTTAATTTTAATAACAAATTGATTAAAATTGTTGTCTACTTTGTTTTATTACTTCTATTGTATCTTAGCAAAAATATTTTTACTAAGAAATAAAATCTTTTGGTATAATTAGATGCATCATTGTAAAACTAAAAATTTCGTTGAAAGAATTCTGCAAAGAATTCTGAAACGAATATATTTTGTTTGCATTTAGGATATATCTGCCTATGCGCAAGTTGAATAATTAAGAAAGATTGGTTATTATTATGCATCTTACTCGACATAATTCAAGAATACACAAATTATCAGACTTAATTAATTAAGATAAAAATTAAAATAGCATTAAAATGATTTATAAGCAAGTAATTCATGAACAGTGTGATGCGATGGATTTGCGATTGATACCATGGAAAAATATTTGTAATTGGTTCAATATCATTATTTCTCGAATTCCAGATTTATATGATGATAAAGCTGGCGATGAAGGATTGTACCATAGCTGCCTCATCATCTCTGGCTGCGTATTAATCATTAATTTGCTCAATTCAAATATATATCACGTTTTGCAACTTGGACCTTTTGCATTAAAGAAAATAGTACACACGTGGCAGAACTGCTATCCTATGAGAATACAATCGATAAACATAGTTCACGCGCCGATGTTTGCAGAGATTGGTTTCAGGATTCTTAGATCTTTCATATCGGAGAAGATGAGCAATAGATTTCACATCATTCGATACATGCTGCCCAGTAATTTTTTAAGGATGTTTCAGTTAATATCGTGCCAGTCGAATATAGATATACTATGATACTGATGATATAATTCAGGAATTAATAGAGTTAGTTATTATGATGAATTAAAATGGAAGAATAAATGTGACGCTTTTTGGATAATAAACAATGTTTCTCGCTAATCAAGTATCACAAAAAGTAAAACAAAAAGAAATGCAGTTTGCAATTATTCATTGATATAATTTGATTGTGAAGTGATAGATTTGCTCGCAAAATGTACATATAAGACGCTTATATTGACAATTGAGTGATATCTTAAATTTAAGGCTATTTTTATATTTAACGACACGAATTATAAATATAGTATGGATAGAGCATATATTTATTTAGCATTAATTTGTAATGATATGCCTGCTTTTCTTTATAAAAAACATAATAAGAACGAAAGTAGTGTGAAAAGACAGAACAAATTAATTTACTGACAAATTAATTTACTGGATTTATTGCAATATAACATACGATATATCATACGATAAAGTATTAGATTATTTAACGAGCAAGATGAATGTTAATTTTTTCAAACTTTAAATTTAAAATATATTTGTAAATTAATAAATATGATTATCGAATGTTTTTATTTTGACGTACAAGTTCTCTATAGCCATTATTAAATATTACGCGTTTTGTCTTCTTAATTTACATAACTTGATAGATAGATAGTAAACAGCGCCAACGCGAAGAGACAAGGAAAATATGTCGGTATGTACCATAAAGTTTATACTACTGGAGGGGAAATGATCTATCTAAGCAATGAGTGGAAAGTATGAGCAAGATCTCAGAGACAGAAGATGTATTTCTGTATCTATTTCTGGTCTGTTCAGTAACTTTTCTTCTTTCTGTGCATATGTCAAAAGAGGATAGAAAAGATATTTCTTTCCTTTAGATCTTGCTCACAGCTCGACGTCCGTATTCCACCTCCAGTAGTATAAGCTCTATGATATGTATCTCACGTTCTCTCTTTTGTCGCAGTCTCACCATTCGCTGACAACAAGAGAAGTTGGCTGTATTCTATTCTATGTTTATGTGTGAAACGGTTAGTAAAGTATTTAAGACGTTTATATTGACAACTGTGAGCAAATTTTTAAGACTTTTTTAGCATACATAGATTTGAGATGCATTCCATTTTACGCATTATGTGCATAATGCATCATTTATTCTTGTTTAACATTCGGTGAATAACAAAGATAAATGACGCGTCATGCGTGAAATAGAACGCTTGATGATGTAAGCACGCATGGAATGATTATAGAGTCCGGATCGCGGTGCTGTTTATCCTCACTTCAAGTGCCGCATGCCGTTACAATCTAGAATCACGTTCGGGGAGTCACTATTATGTCATGTTATGTCTATGTTTTACGTTTAATAAATGATAAAAATAAAATGATAAAAATAGCGCTAGTAGCGTTTCCCTTTAATATAACAAGAATCTTATTAAGTACAGATAAAAAATACAAGTAATAATAGTGTTATTGAGTAACAATGACTCATTGTTATAGATTTTAAGAAATAATGTACATACAATTTGTATTTTTCAATTATGTATAATACTCAATAACACTATTATTACTTGTATTTTTTATCGGTATTTAATAAAGCTCTTGTTATATTAATTATATTTTATCTTTATTTCTTTGCTAAATGCGATGATGTCCCATTTGGTTCTTTAATGCATTTTCGGGGAGATACTACTAGCATTATTAGTAGTATTCTATTTTTATGATTTGTTAGACATAAAATAAGAATAGCATAACGCAAATAATGTTAATAGCGTCTCCTCGAACGCATTTCTAGCGACGATATAGACGGCACTGCTTCTCGCGAAGTGCGACGCTTGGAGTGGGAATAAACAGCACTGCAATCCAAACTCTAAGTTGATGATGAAACTCTTTAATAACTGATTTATCATTGAAGTGAAAAATAGATTCTACGTAAAAAGTTGTATGTTACGTAACTGTGTTTATCGTTAATCCTATTGCATAACAATTTATCTCTATTCAGTCTTCGTTCAGTTCCTTTGCAGTAGTGGATAAAGTTTCTTGTAGCGTCACGATAACAAACGTATGTGAAGATAGTGTAGAGTTTTACGCTCGACATGGGTTAACTAGTGAAGATAGAAGATGTACAGCGACATATTTGAACGAGACCGATGAGAGAGCGTCATCGCGGAAATCAAACGCTGGATCAACGATATATGGGTTTAATATAATTTAATATAGGCTTAATATAATTTAATATAAATTTTATTAAAATTTAATAAAATACTAAATAAGATCTTAATAACGGCTCGGTTTTATTAAAACCTCATAAAGATTTAATTTGGATCACATAAAGATCCATATTAAATTATATAAGATTCTTTATTAAATGTTTATATGATATTCTTAAAATCTACCCATATTTGATTTTCATAAGGAGTTTATAAGTTCTTATACGTTTTATAAGTCTTTTAGTTTTGCCGAAAAGATAATTTAAAAAAGACATCTTTTCGTCATCTTTCTATGGTTGTCGTTTCGGAAAAATTAAAAGTTCGACTAAAAGATATCTTTTGTTATTACCGAAAAAACAGCACAAAGAACATACCTTTTCATTACTTTTACAATCTTTCGATGCCGTATGGGGGATTTAAATGACCGCGTTCACTCTCAAAACGGGAGTCACGTGACCAATTTTCTCCAATTTCTTCCTATGGAGTTTTGACAGCGTCCAATCAGAAGAGGAGCAGTTTGCCACTCTCTCTCTCAGAGAGATTTGTAAAATATATTCTACCTCTTGTGTTTCAGTGATCAATATCAATAATTATATACTTGAAATATATTGAATTACATCTAATGAGAAAATAAAAGCTACAATCAAATATTAGGTGTTGGAATTAATTCGTAGCGTTTTTAATGAAAGAATGTTATTTATTTCACATGAGCATTAAAAAATACATTAATGAAAGTACTTCCCATCACTTGTAAAACGCTACGAATTAATTCCAACACCTAATAATTAAAATAAATTATTAAAAAAAATAAATATGTTTTTATTCTATTTCAAAATAAAAGAAGAGTCTTCGATATATTTTATAAATTTATATTCTATCAGACACGAATGAATTGTTTCATTGAAAAATATTTATATTTTAATAAGATTATTTTTACAAGATTTTGTATTTTTTTTTATTTGAAAGAAATACTTAATCTTTTTCTTTTTATTCAGATTAATTAATCTCTTTTTTATTAAGATTTCCTTATCTTGCGTTTTTTTGAGAGTATGTAAATTTAATATAGAGAAAATCAGGAAATTATTACGAAATTATTACAAGCAGCGATCCGGAATGATTCATGAATACAGATCCATTTCGACCGGAACTGAAGGAGATACTCGATTTGGAGTAACAATCATTATATATTCAGTATATTAGATAGAATAATTCCAAGAATTTATGGAGTGCTGAAATTCATAAGATTATATATGATAAGAGTATATAGGTGAATTTGTTTACCCGTACATATGCACGAACTAAACTAACATTAAAGCGATCTTATATGATCTGAATATAAATTTTATTTTCTATCTTTATATTATTCCAGAAAACAACTTAGATTATATGATATCATTATAGAATAGTTTACCAAAATTATATAATTTCCGCATTCTAATTAGAATCGATTTCTTCTATAAAAATATAAACATTGCGATTCTTACTTTATTAACTAAATTTATTCATGTTAATTTATATTAATTGTTTTAAAACTTAGAATTTTACCAATTTAATAATAACGAGAATTTTGATAGATTATAAATTATTTTTTATTTTTTATGTATTTACTTTTATTTGTTTTGTATATAAGGAATATCAGGGAGGCTTCAGTCATTTAATATACTTAATGCGCCAATAATCTTCGATGTTGTTGTGCAAATTTTGAAATTTTGATCTTTCATTACAGAAAAGATGAAAGATAGATTTCACAACACATTTACTCACACAAAACAATACGGAACTGTTTCAAGGATATTCCAGCTAATATCTTGTCCGTCGAGTATGTCGACACTGATGGCATAATCCAGGAATTAACAGGTAATTGCGAGTAAATTAAAATGTAATAAATACAATGCATTTATTGAACGATAAAAATGCTTATTAAACAAATATTACTGAAGTAGAAATAAACTTTTTACAATTAAAGTATTTCTCCGACTACAAAATCGCGCTAAAAAATTAATCGCATACAACTTACGAATATGCTCTCTGAAGAAAGAAACTTTTGAGGCGAATGTACATACACACACGCATAAATATCGTATTTGTGTACGCGAACACTAGTCCACACTGAAGACAATTGAAATGTGATAACAGCATGTCCCTGTCTCGTCGCTCGACGTGCGAGGAGAATTCCATCAAATTACAAATTTAAACTACTCTAATTTAGAAATGGCACCGCTAGGTCTTCCCATTTTTTAAAAATAAGATTCCTATAATATTTCTACATTACATATTTATTTTTTTTTAAATCTATAGAAGATTTTCATTGCAAAGTATTAAAACATTGCTTCGACAAGACTTGGTAGTTTACGTATTAAAAACTGAAACTTTAAAGGTGAATATCTCCATTTCAGCACTGTTAGGATTTTTTAAAATTTTAATCATATTATATATAAATAAAATTTTTTTAAACATAATATCCAAATTTCAAAAAAAAATCTGTAGAAATTTAATTTCTCGGAAAAATATTTTAAAATAGCAATTGTTTAGACAACAGTCATTAAATATTCATTAATTGTAAGACCAGTTTAGATTTAACGTACAGTTATATATATGTACCTTACATATATTAATTATAGTCAGTACATGTTTAGTATATAATTTATTCATATAATTTAATGTATATGTAATACAAACATTTACTTTTGCAGAATATTCGAAAGAAATCAATTGAAGAGAATCGCGAATGGCTTATAGATGATGATAATGATAAAATGATAAAATTATTTTGAAGCGGTTTAAGATACTTATTTTGAAGAGTTAGGAACAACATAAAGGTGTGTTCTTAGCATTCGATTGAATATTATATTGAATATAGGTCGTTCTTTTTCTGTTTTGCGAAAAAATATCTTTTTTTTTTCTTTATAGGGGAATTATAATTTTCTATCGATGAGTTAATATAAAAAATGATTCTGTGCAGAATTTCTAATAAAGAATAAACTTTTTATTCCTAATCAGTAAGTCATCATATCTTGAATATACGTAAAAATTTAATGTATTTACCTTGTACTCTTAGAATCTAGTCTATTTAATGATTGATTTTTGCCTTTAATTCTTCATTGAATTCAAGTAGAAACCAATCATATTAAAGAATCACTAAGTGCTAACTAATTAGTTTTCTCTACTGAACGCAACTATTGGCTACGTTTAGAAACAGCAACAATTAAATGGTCTGTTCTCTGTGATCTATCTGATAAATCTAGAAAAACAAACAAATAGTAATGAGAGCTCTCTCTCAACTATTGGTTTCTAAACGTAGCCAATATGTAATTAACCTTAGCGTTAGATAATTTAAAAATTGCGCAGTATCTAATTTAGATTCTGCGCAATTTTTGTGCATCAATTGTAGCTTATTTGAAAGGAATTTTAAATCTCTCCTTCTCTTTCTGTTTGTATGTAGATGACTTTTTTATCCTGCGATTTTTGAGAGTCTGTAAATTTAACCTCGAGAAAACTAAAATCAGGATAAGAAACTATTATAAGCAGCGATCCGACTTACCGGAATGGTATACGAATATAGATCCATTTCGACCAGAACTGCAGGAGCTACTTGATTTGGGGTAACGATCATTATTATTGATTATAAAAATGTAAGAGTTTATAGAGTACTAAAATTTATGAGGTTTTACAGTGAATTTCTTTACACGTGCGGAAACTAGGTCGATATATCAAAGCGTTTGATTTGACTTAATCTAAATGTACATATAAATTCTGTCTTCTGTCATTCTTATTCAGGAAATAATGTATCTTAGATTTTTTTATTTAAAATGATTCAAATTTTATAAATTTCCAATAATCATCAATTTCTTCTGTAAATATATGATCGCAACATTATTCTTAATTACTTCATTGATTAAAGTTAATTATGTTAATTTATATTAATTATTGTAAGTTAAGAGTTTTATTAACAATACCAATTGATGAGAACTGATAGACTATAAGTTATTCTTGATTTTTTTTACTCTTATCTGTCTCTTGTAGTTCTGAAATTACGCCCACTAATCACGTTCTATTCCTATAATAAAAAACTGAGTCAAAAAGTCCTCTATCATTTTGTAATTTTCACAATAGTTAACGAGATATTAATCCTTACCCTACTAGGTACAATTTAGTGCTTCATCCATACTAACGGAGAGAGAGAGAAAGAGAGAGAGAGAGAGAGAGAAGAGAGAGAGAGAGAGAGAGAGAGAGAGAGACAGAGAGAGGCACTAAAATCCGTCCATTTTTTCCACTTATTAGAATGATTAAAAAAAATCTAAAAATTCACCAACATATTTTCAACTTTCTAGAATAAATATTGGCACTTTATTTTAGAAAATAATAAAATGTAGTATAATTTATAATTACCAAAAGACGCGAAGAAATTTGCACGAAGGAATCGCTCGATAACTAGTGACTCCTTTAGAGTAGGGATTAATTTCTAAATATTGCTTAATAAACAAATAAAATCGATGTATTATTTTAAAATATCTTTCAGTATTTTTTGTGAAATATTTTGAAGATTTCTTAAAAAACTCTTATTAAAAATACCTTAAAGTTGTCTTACGCGTTGATTTTTTTCATTAGGTAAATAAAAGATATTGCGAACATTGCAAAATGGTACAAGACTTTTCGACTCAGTTGTTTATTAGGAATTGCACTGTATGATTAGTGGGCGTTATTAAAACACTCTGTATAGCAAGGTACTTCATAAATTGCAATTTTAATTTTAACGACAAATTGCTTACATTTAAAAATAAATAAATAAATTGTCTTTTTTTATTTTTATTACGCATGTGTATCAGTAAGAATATTTTATTAAATATATTCAAAGGCTAAATCACTGTAAAACTAAAAAAATATATTTAATTCTTCGAAAAAGTGTAAAATTCTTTGTTTACTATAATTGTTTATTATAGTTATTATTTGCCTCTACGGAAGCCAGATAATTAAGGAAGATTAGTTTTTATTGTGCACGGCACACGACATGATCCGAGAATACACAAAATATCAGATATATATAAGGTACAAATAAATATAATGTAACAGTTCGAACGAATATCATATATATTTTCAATTCGCATTGTTTCTCGACGGACGATTTTTTAGGTTGGCATGATAGCGACAGAAGTAGCAGTGAAGTGTTACCCTGCAGCATCCGTGTATGGCTATACAATATTCATGGATGTATCTAATCCAACTTTACAACATATTGCTCAACTCCGACCCTACGTATTAATGAATTTTGTCCATGCATGGCAGAATTGCTATCCAGCGAGAGTCCAGTCAATTAACATATTTAATGCACCGGTATTCTTCGATGTTGTTGTGAAAATTTTTAAATCTTTCATGACGGAAAAGTTGAAAAGCAGATTTCACATCTACTCACACAGAACGATGCAGAACTGTTTCAAGGATATTCCAGCTAACATCTTGCCTGTTGAGTATGGCGGCGCTGATGGTACAATTAAAGAATTAACAGGTAATTGCAGTAAATTAGAACGTAATGAATGCATTTAATGAATAAAGAATTGTTCAACAGCATTTATCAAAAACAAAAGTAGACGTTTAAGAATTAAAAGTTATTAATTAAAAGTTGTTAATAATTTCGTATAATTCTAAAACGTGTAACAGATATAAATTAACTTTAGGATATAATATTCAATTTACATAAAATAAACATCTTTTTGCAGAATATTGGAAGAAATTGATCGAGGAGAATCGCGACTGGCTTATGAATGAAGGGAATGACAAAATTATCATTTCGAAATAATAGATTTAGTATCGATAGAGAATATTTATTCTTAGTACATGCTTCGATATTATACATTTATTATCATTATTCATTATATAAGTCACTTTATCTTAATGATTATAGAAGAGAAAATAACTATAATTCTTTCATCCTTTTGTTACACAAAGAGAATTAATCAATGATATGATACGAAAAAGATGAATTATGAAACTTTAAGAAAAAAATAATAGGTATAGTTTATATATGTTTTTGAACATATTATATATCATGTATTTTTAAATTATCTGCTTTTCACGTATATCAATATATATGTGTAGTAGATATACTATAGTAGATACAATTATATACATAAAATAATGTAACTATACATGCATATCTTTATATGAAAAATTATTTGTACGTATTTTGCAGGGTTGGAAAGTTTGTAAAAATAACTAATTACAGTTATAGTTTATTTTTTCAAAAGTAACTAGTTACAGTTCCAAGTTACTGAGACTAAAAATTAATTCATTATAGTTATACATTTACTAAAAAAGTAAATTTTTCAGTTATTTTTCTGTTATCATAATAAACAATATGATTGGCATCGATATTATTAGGGCTATCAAAGAAAAAAATAATTTACATTTACAATTTACTGACCACAATTTACCAATCAAAAAATACTTTGAAGCATTTGTTGTGGATCGTATTTTTAATCAGTATTCAGATTTTAACCAATCACATTATATTGACAAATAAGTTTAAAATGTAAAGTAATTGTAAAAGTAACTGTTAAATTAGTTACTAGTTATTGGAAGAAATGTAACTAAGTTAAGTAAGTTAAGTTACAGCTACTGAAAAAAAGTAACTGTAACTGTAACTTAGTTACAAGTTATTTCTTAACCCTGGTATTTGTTTAAAAGACTGATACGCTGCATAATGTAAAAGTTGTAGCAATTAAGCTTTTGTCGTTATTGTTTGTACATCTTTTGGACTGAGAATAGCAATTATTGTATACAGATTTGTCATGGCGGATTTTTAAATCCATTATTTACTGCCAGCAGCGCAATTATTACTGATTTATGATAAAAATATGCTGTAGACATCGTGGCGCATCGTAAGTTGTAATGCCTCTTCCTGTCCGTCCATTGATTAATTGTATTTGTTCGAAAGATATCAGCGAACAATGTTAATTACGATAGCAATTTGTTAAAAATTGTGAAGATCAATTTAATTTCCAAGCGAAGATAAAGGTATCTTTTCGATCACGTGACCAGTTTGATGCTCGAATCGAGCGTCGAGTGTCAGCATGAAAATGCAGCTTTTTTAGAGTCTGATTGTAATTCAGTTTTTGTACAAATGTATTCACGTAAACAATGCATAAATTACATTCCAAATATCGATAATATGAAAACTCTGATTAAAGACTACGTAAATAGCGCGTATTCTTAAAGGATCGCTTATATACAGGATTGGTCATATTCGACGGAAAGATGTTTTTTTTTTCAATCATGGCGCTACGTCGTTACTCGATCTACCGTCGTTACATCTCTGTCAAAAGTTACAGTGTTGCCAGATCTTTCCGTCGAATATGGCCAACCCTGTATATAGACTAAATCAAATATAAGAAAATTTTTTTAGAAGCAACTTCTGCGCTTATTCAATGAAATTATTATAACAATAACCGCATCATTAAGTAGATAAAATGCAATGTTTATCTCTTTACGTGTTATACATTAAAACATATGCGAGCAATTTCTCTCAAGCTATGAAATTACAGAGAGATGAGATTCATTTACTACCGCTAGTAATGTAAGCAGATCTTAATGATTGTTCCTAATACGCCGTCTCAATATATTTATATAAATTAAAAGTAATTCATCATTTTTTTATGAAAATATCATTTATAAATATTATCCTATAATTGCTTTAGTAAAGCGTACAAAAAAGTAAAACTACTATATTTGTTTGTGCTTTCAAAAGATGCAGTTTTGCTCCACTTCTATTTAGAAAAGAATGGCGCCTATATATGTACATCCTCATTCTTAACTTTTTTATAATTATTTTATAATTGAATGAAACTTATCCAATATTTTATGTAGTTGTACTTATATTTACATCAGTGCTGGAATTTAATTGCACATTTCGGCCGAATGAATATGAAAAAGATTTCAGCTTGGTTCCTGCCCCTTACTTTATCATCTCTAGCGATCGGCATTTAAGCTGCGCACAGAATGGTAAATCGGTTTTAAAATGATTATTAATCATAAGAAGAATATTCCTTAGGATTTACCCTCAACTATTATAATTATCTTTAATTTTTTTTGTAATTATATAATTCTTTAATCTTTAGAAATTTCTAGCAATTTTGATTTCTTAAAAGATAACAGTATTGAAAGCTGTTATTCTCTGGCATAAACTCCACACATAACAAACAAATAATTAGTTATAATAATAATTATATAAGTGGGTCTTATTTAATAAGCACATTATTTAAAAAAAATAGTTATACTTATTTAAAAAAATTGATTCATTAGTTATTTTTCATAGTTAGGAAGTTGAATAATATTATAATAAATTATGAAACATTGTATACTGATAAATTTTGCAGCGGATTATTATAAAAATGACTCATACACACAAGTTTTTGTTGTATTAAACAAACGTGTTGCTACCGATTCCATTCTTTAATCCTTTTTTATTTACTTCCTGTATATCTACAAATCTTTTAAACTTATGCTGCAGGCTTAAAGTAATACAT